GACCCCTGAGTGACCCCCGTGACCCCTGAGTGACCCCTGTGACCCCCGTGTGACCCCAGGGTGGCCGCTGACCACAGCGTGGACACCTCTGGGTGCGAGTGTGACACTGTGACCCCGAGTGACCCCTGTGACCCCTGAGTGACCCCTGAGTGACCCCCGTGACCCCTGAGTGACCCCCGTGACCCCCGTGTGACCCCAGGGTGGCCGCTGACCACAGCGTGGACAACACCTCGGCCGTGCTGGCGGCGTGGCTGGGCCGCGTGCGGGGCCGCTACCACCGCGTGCTCTGGAGGCACCAGGAGCAGCCCACGTGAGGCCGGGGGGCTTCGGGGGGCTCCCAGGCCTTCGGGGGGCTCCGAGGCGTTTTTTGGGGGGGTTTCTGTGGAATTTGGGGGGGTTTTGGGGGTTTGGTCACTTTGGTGAGGGGAGGCAGCAGGAAGAGACCACGTGGGTCTGGGGGGCTCTGGCGCATTTTTGGGGGGCTCTGACACATTTTGGGGGGGATCTGATGCATTTTTGGGGGGCTCTGATGCATTTTGGGGGGTCTGGGGGTGTTCAGGGTGGGATTTTGGGGGATTTTGGGGGTGTTTTTTGAGGTTTTTTTGGGGATTTGGTCATTATAGGAAGGGGAGAAACCAGGAGGAGCCCACGTGGGTCTGGAGGGCTCTGACACTTTGAGGGGCTCTGACGCATTTTTGGGGGGCTCTGATGCATTTTGGGGGGTATGGGGGTGTTCAGGGAGGGATTTTGGGGGTTTTGGGGGGGTTTTTTGGGGTTTTTTCTGGGGGTCTGGTCACTTTGGGGAGGGGAGGGAGCAGGAGGAGCCCACGTGGGTCTGGGGAGCTCTGAGGCATTTTGGGGGGTTTGAGACATTTTGGGGGGCTCTGATGCATTTTGGGGGGGTTCCTGTGGGATTTTGGGGGGTCCCGGGGGTGTTTGAGGGATCCTGGAGGGTCTCAAAGGGATTTTGGGGTGTCTGAGGTGCCCCTCTGGTGCCCCCCAGGTCAATCCCCAATGAGGAGAGACCCAAATTTGGGGGGAGGACTCCCAGAATTTTGGGACTGTCCCAAGCTTTTGAGTGTTCCTGTGGATCCCTAAATTTTTGGGGGGTCCCTGGGATTTTGGGGGGCTCTCCCCGGGATTTGGGGGTGTCTGAGGTGCCTCCCTGGTGCCCCCAGGTCGTTCCCCAATGAGGAGAGACCCAAATTCTGGGACTGTCCCAAGTTTTGGAGGGTCCCTGTGGGTGCCCAAATTTCAGGGGGCTCCCCAGGATTTTGGGGCGGGTCTCCCCAGAATTGGGTGGGGTCTCTCGGAAATTTGGGGGTCTGTCCCCAGAATTTGGGGTGTCCTGGTGCCCCCCGGTGCCCCCCAGGTCAATCCCCAAGGAGGAGGAACTCAAATTTGGGGGGAGGAGTCCCCAAATTTTTGGGACTGCCCCAGGTTTTGAGGGTCCTTGTGGATCCCCAAATTTTGGGGGGGGTCCCTAAGATTTTGGGGGGGGTCCCTGGGATTTTGGGGGGCTCTCCCCGGGATTTTGGGGTGTCTGAGGTGCCCCCCTGGTGCCCCCCAGGCCATTCCCCGATGAGTCGGGGCTGAAATTCCGGGACTGTCCCCAGTTTCGGAGGGTCCCTGTGGGTGCCCCGATTTCGGGGTGCTCCCCAGGATTTTGGGGGTCTCTCCCTGGAATTTTGGGGTGTCTGAGGTGCCCCCCCGGTGCCCCCCAGGTCCTTCCCCGACGAGGAGGGCCCCAAGCACTGGAGCCCCTCTCGCTACGAGCACCTGATGAGGCTGCGCCAGGAGGCCCTGGAGGCCGCCCGGGCCATGTGGGCCGACTACCTGCTGGTACGGGGGGTCCCCGAATTTGGGGAGGGGTCCCCCGATTTGGGGAGGGGTCCCCAAGAGTCCCCTGAGCCCCGGGGTGGGGGGAAAAAGTCACGCCAGAGGGGAGAAATGGAGCCCTGGGTGAGGGAAACTGAGGACAGCCAAGGCCAGGTGTGATTTGGGGGGGATCCTCGATTTGGGGAGGGGTCCCCCGATTTGGGGAGGGGTCCCCAAGGGTCCCTGAGCCCTGGGGTGGGGGGCAAAAGTCACCCCAGAGGGGACAAACGGAGCCCTGGGTGATGGAAACTGAGGACAGCCAAGCCCAGGTGTGACCCTGTGTGATTTGCGGGGGGGGATTCCCAATTTGGGGAGGGGTCCCCAAATTTGGGGAGGGGTCCCCCAATTTGGGGAGGGGTCCCCAAAGGCCCCTGAGCCCCGGGGGAAAAAGTCACCCCAGAGGGGAGATACAGAGCTCCAGGTAGGGGAAACTGAGGGCAGCCAGGGCTGGGTGTGGCTGTGTCTGATTTGTGGGGGGGGGTCTTGAATTTGGGGAGGGGTCCCTGAGATGTCCCCAGCTGTGCCTAGCTGTGCCCCCAGCTGTGCCCCAGGTGTCCCCAGGTATCCCCAGGTGTGTCCCAGGTGCCCCCAGGTGTCCCCAGGTGTCCCCAGGTGTTCCCAGCTGTGCCCAGGTGTGTCCCCAGGTGTGTCCCCAGGTGTCCCCAGGTGTCCCCAGGTGTGTCCCAGGTGTCCCCAGGTGCCCCCAGGTGTGTCCCCAGGTATCCCCAGGTGTGTCCCAGGTGTCCCCAGGTGTGTCTCCCCGCAGTTCCTGGACGCGGACAATGTCCTGCTGAACCCGGACACGCTGGGGGTGCTCCAGGTGTCCCCAGGTGCCCCCAGGTGTGTCCCAGGTGTCCCCAGGTGTGCCCAGGTGTGTCCCAGGTATCCCCAGGTGTGTCCCAGGTGTCCCCAGGTGTGCCCAGGTGTTCCCAGCTGTGCCCAGGTGCCCCCAGGTGTTCCCAGGTGTGCCCAGGTGTGCCCAGGTGTGTCCCAGGTGTGCCCAGGTGTCCCAGGTGTTCCCAGGTGTGTCCCAGGTGTGCCCAGGTGTGTCCCAGGTGTGCCCAGGTGTCCCAGGTGTCCCCAGGTGTCCCCAGGTGTCCCCAGGTGTGTCCCAGGTGTCCCCAGCTGTCCCCAGGTGTGTCCCAGGTGTCCCCAGGTATCCCCAGGTGTCCCCAGGTGTCCCCAGGTGTGTCTCCCCGCAGTTCCTGGACGCGGACAATGTCCTGCTGAACCCGGACACGCTGGGGGTGCTCCAGCTGTCCCCAGGTGCCCCCAGGTGTCCCCAGGTGTTCCCAGCTGTGCCCAGGTGCCCCCAGGTGTGTCCCAGGTATCCCCAGGTGTCCCCAGGTGTCCCCAGGTGTGTCCCAGGTGTCCCCAGGTGTGCCCCCAGCTGTGCCCAGGTGTCCCCAGGTATCCCCAGGTGTGTCCCAGGTGTGCCCAGGTGTTCCCAGCTGTGCCCAGGTGCCCCCAGGTGTGTCCCAGGTATCCCCAGGTGTGTCCCAGGTGTCCCCAGGTGTGCCCAGGTGTCCCCAGGTGTGTCTCCCCGCAGTTCCTGGACGCGGACAACGTCCTGGTGAACCCGGACACGCTGGCCGTGCTGGTGGCCGAGAACAGAACCGTGGTGGCGCCGATGCTGGACTCGCGCGCCGCCTACTCCAACTTCTGGTGCGGCGCCACCGCGCAGGTGAGGGCGGGGCCGGGCGGGGCCGGGGGCACTGACCAATCCCAGTGGTCACTCCCAGTGCCCGTTCCCAGTGCCCATTCCAACTGACCATTCCCAGTGCCCTTTCCCAGTGCCCATTCCCAGTGCTCATTCCCAGTGGTCACTCCCCATTCCAAGTGTCACTCCCAGTGGTCACTCCCATTCCCAGTGGTCACTCCCATTCCCAGTGGTCACTCCCCATTCCCAGTGCCCATTCCCAGTGGTCACTCCCCATTCCCAGTGGTCACTCCCCATTCCCATTGGTCACTCCCCATTCCCAGTGGTCACTCCCCATTCCCAGTGGTCACTCCCATTCCCATTGGTCACTCCCCATTCCCAGTGCCCATTCCCAGTGGTCACTCCCATTCCCAGTGGTCACTCCCCATTCCCAGTGGTCATTCCCCATTCCCATTGGTCACTTCCCATTCCGAGTGGTCACTCCCCATTCCCAGTGGTCATTCCCCATTCCCAGTGGTCACTCCCCATTCCCAGTGGTCACTCCCCATTCCCAGTGGTCATTCCCCATTCCCAGTGCCCATTCCCAGTGGTCACTCCCCATTCCCAGTGGTCATTCCCCATTCCCAGTGCCCATTCCCAGTGCCCATTCCAATTTCCAGTGGTCACTCCCCATTCCCAGTGGTCACTCCCCATTCCCAGTGCCCATTCCCATTGGTCACTCCCCATTCCGAGTGGTCACTCCCCATTCCCAGTGCCCATTCCCATTGGTCACTCCCAGTGGTCACTCCCCATTCCCTGTGGCCATTCCCATTGGTCATTCCCCTTTCCCAGTGGTCACTC